GTTCTTGTTGAGTCCTCGGTAATCCTCAGCAAACTTCGACAGTTGGTTGAACCGGCTCATTCGGGTCTTTTTGAGTTGGACGTGCTACTTCGGCTGCGTCCTGCGTCATCAACCCAGAACTAAAGTTCGATTCAGTTCGATTTGTGAACCGGCTCAACCGGTTACTTCCTGAGAACCGGCTCAAAAGAACGATTCGTTCAAGAACCGAACATCACTATCCGAGAGCATTTAGTTATTGCAAAATGTCTCCTACTCTTCCTTTTTCTCTTTATTACTTTTTCCCTCCACCTGTATCTGGCTGCAACCATCAAATTACTAATATGGGAATTTTAGGCCCTTGATTTGTTCTCTTATCATCCACAAAGCACATGGTATGTAAAGTTAACTTTGTGTAAATGTATTTTATTTTTTGTGCTTTGCAGTGAATTGCCATTTAAATGCATTTATTTTTATATTTTATCACATGAAAGTCGTATGAATGTTTTTATCTTGTGCTCTAAAACCCCTGCAGTCTGTTTATAAGCCGTTCTGGGAGTGAAATGCAGCTCTAATAGAGGCATGTCATGTCCTCATGCTGGTTCGGTGGTTTGATATGTGTGACGCATGCTGAAATAATTAAAGTGACAGAAACAACATGTCTTCATGAATAATTCATGTAACATGTTTTCATGACACTGTTTTTCCCAAAAGTATGTCTAAAATAGCAGTGCAGTACTTTTGACTTGTCATTTTTCCAATTAATAGTGTTTAGTGATGGAAGTGTATAATAAAGTGCTGAAATATAATAATGTTTTTTTTTTCAGATGAAGTCAACAGAGGTGGATCAAGGCCTTTTCACAGACAGTTACTGCAAAGTGTGCAGCGCTCAGCTCATCTCAGAGTCACAGAGAGTGGCACATTATGAGGTGAGACCTGCTTTCTGTCTACATCCTGTCTGCTTGTACGTACAAATCTCTCTCTTCCCTTTTGTTTCCTTGATGTTAGTCATTTTAGATGTTGTTATCCAATGTGTAGTTATCATAGGGACAGTACCCCTAGAGCAGTGATTCTCAAATATGGCTCGCGAGATCCACTTTCCTGCAGAGTTTAGCTCCAACCCTATAATCAAACAAACCTACCTGTGATTTTCTAATGATCCTGAAGACATTGATTAGCAAACTCAGGTGTGTTTGATTAGGGTAGAGCTAAGCTCGGCAGGAAAGTGGATCTCGCGAGCCAGATTTGAGGATCACTGCCCTAGAGCAATCGGAGTTTAAGTGCCTTCAAGGACACAGTGACAATATAGTAACAACTAGTAAATATAGCAATAAATATAGCTAGTACTAGCCTGTTTTCTGGACATCTTCCACAATTACTCGTATTCTCTGAATAAGTCTTTAAAGGTGTTGCACGTCCTCTGATCTGTGTGGTGAGGAATAGCAGCCTAGCTGTATTACAGAGTTTTTCCCCTGTGGTCACTGAACAGAGAGTTATATGGCCACTCTTCAACAGAGCTGTAACCTGAATGGGCCTAGATGGGAACATAATGTATTTGCCTAGGCAGGCATGGAGTACAACAAGAAGATAGTGTGCTGTCAGTGTAAAATATTAATTCTGGGTTTGTTTTGTTTGTCCGTGCCGAGTGTGTTATTGGCTGTCCCATGACAACTGAGCCATTTTCCGAGCACCTTTGCTTGGGCTGAAGTATTTTTGGAGGGTCAGTTATTGACAGAAACACTTGCTGCTTTTTTCAATTATGTGTTTCGATTGTCTGTAAAAACATGGATAAGCTACATCATGTAAACATGTCAGCAGTGTGGATGTACTTCATCATGAACAAAAATGAGGCAAGAGTAGCAGTATGTATATTTTGTTTGACTAAAATATCAAAAGGTGGCTTGTTGCCAAAAAAACATTTGTACTATGACTGGTTAATCACCTGTGAACAACACCCAGAACAGTTCAATGACCCAAAATTTCATGACCAAAACTTTATTTTTGGTTTCAGTTTCTGGCTAAATTAATATTTTTATTTTATTTTCCATGTAATTTCCATTTAATAAAATAATTTTGGCGCATCACTACTTTAGTCTTTTCAGTGGAAAAAGGCTATCTGTGGTGCATCTGAGGCTGCTGGGTAAATTACTAAAAGCTGCTAAAAAGCTACAATCTTTTTGCTGATTTTTGCAAACCACCACAGGCATTAAATGAAAAATGCTGTCATGCTCCTAATGTGGAAAGACTTGCAGTGGGCACAAACATTTTTTGTGGAGACCCAGATATGTGGAGAAGAGTTTTTGTCTCTCTTGCTCTTTCACCTCAGAAAAGCTCCAAAGTGTATCAGATGGAAGCTCAAATATCCAGACTCTGTCTTATTAATTAAGCGTTTTATGACAGTATTTATAAAAGGCTTTGAAAAGTTCTAGGCAATATACAAAAGAAGTGGAGAATAACTGTTTATTTGCATCTTAGTAAATATCACACGTGATGCTCATGGCAGCTAAAGGGAAAGCATGTTTGAAAAAAAAAACAGATTGTATCATGATTTTCATAAAGTATGGAGTAACAGCATGCTTATGAAATTCAATATAAAAAATGAACATAAAGGGTCTCAAGTACACTCTAATTGTAATCAATAAACTGAAACGTAATACAAGTGACAAAAACTTTCATTTTATTTACATGGTTCATTTACTAAATTCTGTATTTGGAATCCCTATATAGTCTACTCAATCCTTTCTGTCATTTCAAAAGAAACTTACAATGTGTTTTCTTGAACTAATTAGGGTCTTTGTCACAATTTTAGCATTTGATTTAATTTAGAAACAAAATGGTTTGTGTTTGCATTGAAATTGTCCTGAAGCTCATTTTATTGGGAAGGGATCTGGACTGTAGAGGCTGTAGAGTAGAAACATCTACAGGGGCTTTTGCGCACAGGTCATGGTTTTAGAAATTATGCTGAGGGCACAATTTTTCCTCCGCGATGAGCTCTTAATCCTCACTCCTGAAACATCAAAGACTGAAAGATAGAGAGCCAAAGACAGAGAGAGTGAGACAGATTGGAAGAGGGAGAGAAAATCCAGACATTTGAACTGAACTGTTTAACAGCAGCTGTATTAAAAAGAACATTAATAATGCAGAAAGACAATCGTGGACCGGAAGAGCACTTCCAGCATTCGGTTTCATTTTATAGTCCTCAAGACAGTGATCCAGGGTCTCTATTTATGCTCTCAAGGTTATTCGATACCTTTTCATGTGTATTACCAAAGACTGTGAGAATCAAATGTACAGGTGTGATAAATGTTATTGTTAAGCTCCAGGCAAAAATCAATGGAAGCATATAGGTAGCGAAATTCTATTTAAAATGCAATATGCAAAATGGCAATGCAATATTCAAAATGGCAACGCAATATTCAAAATGGCATTGTATTTCTGTATTTAAATTCAAATGTAAATTATATAATTTAATTTTCATTTTACTTTTACTTTTGCACCAAACTTTGCACGTATGGGTAATGGAAAATATAAATTTAAATACAGAAATACAATGCCATTTTGCATATTGCATTTTAAATTGAATTTCGCTACCTATATGCTTCCATAAACATCTTCTTAATGTTATATCCAAGCATATTGCTGTGCTGTTATGATTGCTAACACCATGCTTAAAGCCAAGGTGACTTTTTTTCTATATTTCTGTTACTGACATCAGGTATGCATTACCTAAAGCAAACAGAAGTTATCTGGTGTCTTTTAAGCAGTAAGCGAGGTCTGTGGCCTGTGTCTCCTATTGAGTGCAATCTCTCTGGTGCCCCTGTGCTATTTGATTTCTTTTTGTTGTCTTGCTCTCTTTCTGTCTGTTTGTGTGCCCTTGGCTTATGCGTTTCCTTCATGCAATTCCAAACAGAATTCTCTAATCTTACATATGTATGAGCCGCATAGCGGAGAGCGGGAAGACTGCAGGCTTTTATTTACGTTTGGTCATGGTGATATTATCAGCGTTCAAGGACAAACCGCCCTCTCATTGTCCTGGACCCTCCTCTACAAGATTGGAATGGTCCATGTGAGTTTGATTCTAATGAGACTCCTGATTCACACTAAGGATTAAAGGACAAAAATCTCAGGTGAACTTTTCTTGTTTCATTAATTAATGTGCATAATTCTACTTGTACAGGGATCAGTCACAACAATGTATTGCTTGGAATCTGATTGATTCTTTCCCTCAACCTGACACAAAACTAGACCTATGCAAATTGTCATGACAATGTCAGTGTTTAACCTAATTTCTTTTAAACTCATTTTACCATGTTTAATACATTCTACAGAATTAGTGTCAATTTTCCAGTAAAATTAGGACAGAAAATGGGGAAAAATTATAAGCGTGAATCATTGACTGTAATTTTTTGTATGTTTAAGAATGTTTTTCTGTGATCGTTTAAATCAAAATTTTGAATGTGTGTGTGTATATACCATTCAAAAATCAGTACTATTTTATTGAAAGAAAGACTTTTATTCAGTTAAAATGCATTATATGGATCAAAAGTGGCACATTTATAATGTTACAAAAGATTTTTATTTATTATATAAATGCTGTTCTTTTGAACTTTTGATTCAGAATTCTGGGTGAAAAAATGGCACAAGATCAAGAAAAATGTATCACTGTTTTCACAATAATATTCAGCAGCACATCTGTTTTCAACATTGATAATAAAAACATTATCTTGAGCACCCAATCAGCATATTAGAATGATTTCTGTAGGATCATGTGACACTGAAGACTGGCGTAATGGCTGCTGAAAATTCAGCTATGCAGTCACAGAAATAACTTACATTTTAAAAAATATTAAAGGGGTCATATGATGCGATTTCAATTTTTCCTTTCTCTTTGGAGTGTTACAAGCTCTTGGTGCATAAAGAAAATCTGTAAAGTTGCAAAGACTAAAGTCTCAAATCCAAAGAGATATTCTTTATAAAAGTTAAGAGTCAACCACGCCTACCTAAAACGGCTCGTTCTAACACACCCCCACATACCTACGTCACTATGTGGGAAGATTTGCATAACACCGCCCAAATGTTCACACAAAGAAAGAAGGAGTAACTTTTATTCTCGCTGTAATATTGTTGCCGCCGCAGTGAAAAAGTGAAAAGTGACGTGACATGTGGCCAAGTATGGTGACCCATACTCGGAATTAGTGCTCTGCATTTATCCCAT